AAAATATTTCCAACTAATTTTTTTTTTATTTAACATTTTAAATTAACCATAAGTAAAATTATAAGTGATAATAATGTGATTACTGTAAATTAGCGCAATATCACTATATATTATATTATTAACTATTAGCAAAATTATAAGTATTACTAAAATTATAAATTAAGTAATTTAATTAGCTATTAATAAAATATAATTCAAGTAATTAATTGAATGAATGTATAATCATTGATGACATATAGGTGTATATATGCAAACGATAGAAAGAAAAAAAAATGATGAAATGAAAGAACCTAATTACTTATATTAATTCTTACATTTTTATCATTGAAAAAGAAAAGAAAGAAAAGGGAAGAAATTATTGTTAATACAAATGTAAACAATGAAACTTGTTCAGATTTTTTTTTGTAATTATCGAAATAATTTCATTAAATAAATGCCGTCAGCAAAAGATTTCTATTCATTTCCAAAATTTAATATTAAAGCGAAATTTCATTTTAAAATATACAAGAAAAAATATATTGATATTAAATAAAATAAATAATTAAGCTGCAATTTTTTTTTAAATTATTGCATGAATAATTCCGTACCGGATTGTTTAGCTGGAAAAAAAGCAAGAATTTTTTTGTTTAAAAAAATTGATTTGAAGCTTTTGAACGGAAAAAAATTAACAATTAAAATTTATAATTTCTAAATATTTGTTTATATTATCGTTTCCTTTCTTTTTGCTTTTTTTTTTCTTTTTTTTTGACAATTTTGGCGTTTTTTCTTTTATTCGTCACTTTGAAATTTCATTTTCTTTGATTTTGCTTGCTTTTTTTTATTTCGAAATTTTGTCAAACTAGACTGTTTTTTTCAACTATGATAATGCTTCCTTGTTAAGTTACGTTTTAAAAGTTCGAAAAAGAATTACGAGCAATTAAACTTGATTCAAATTGTTTAAATGGAAAAATAAATTAATTAAATGGAAAGATAAATAGCAATTATAATATGCTAATAACTTTATTTTGATCATATTTCCAATGTTTTTTCTTTTCCTCTTCAAATTAAAATTTTAATGATCAATTTCAAAGTTTTATTTGAAATTTAAAATAATCGAATTATTTATTCTATCACGATTGATAAATAAGCATATGAATGAAGATTTTAATCTAATCTAACAGATTGAAGGATTGAAATCTTTCCAGTAAATGTAAAAGTGAAACAAATAAAGTGAATGATCTGAAGAATTAATTGATAAATACCTGAAGAATTTGACAAATATGTAATTGCTTTCGGTCTATTAGTATTTAATTAATTGCAGCAAAACAACACGGAATGTGAAACCTGAGAAAAGTTCGACGAAATAAAGTGGCTAGCAGTTTAGGTTTATTTAATCAGGAAGAGAAAGATAAAACCGGAATACATCCATACGGAAAGAATTTTTGATTCTAGCTTATTTTAATTGCATAATAAGTTTACGCTACAAGTTTACTAAATTGCAATATTTCCGTTGCGGAAACACAAGTGTGTTAATTTCGGTGAATGATAAAATCTATTAAGATATACGTCAATTGATGCATATCATGAAATTGTCAATGAAGTAAGGTGAAAAGTTTCAATAAGATGCAATCAGCATATGTAAGTATAGAACATTTTTGATGTTAATATTACTGCCATAAAAAGGACTTTGAAATTTTACAGGATGTTAAAAAATTATATCTTATAATGAAATAAGTACGTGACAATAACACAATAATATACGTGACAAATAAATATTACTAGCAGCATTTATCAAATATCCAAATAATTTCATTAAAAAAAAAAACATCCCAGTTAAGACCTATACAAAATCAATTCTTTCCATTGTATTAACATAATTTTCAAAACTATGAAATCATCCGTCAATTAAATTGCACTAATTTTTTCCATACTTCATAAATCATAACTAATTAAAATTTATTGGGCAACAAATTTACGGAGAAAGAAAAAAAGAAGGAAAATTATATTTCTTCTTTTTAATTATAACAATAAAATTGCGAAGAATAATGAATGATTTTTTTCTTAAAAAAAAAAAAAAGAAAAACATCAAATAAATTTCAAAAAAGACGAGTAAATTTGATTTTAAATTCATAAAATCTAAAAATTAATCAGGTGAATCAGTAGGTTTTTCTTTTCTTTTTTTCTTAAAAGGACGAAAAAAAAGTTAATTGTATTTTCTTGCATTATTAAAAAGCGATAAATGAAATGAGAAATGTTTGAATGAAATATATCAGCAATTGGCTACAACAAATATCCGGTATTTTTCCGCCATTCGTTATCACCCGATCTGACAAAAGCGTAAATTTATCAATTTTATATTATTGAAAATCCGGAATTCCTTCCATTTTCGTCGTTATAGACAAACCAATTCATCAAAATTTTCATTCAAATTATCACATATGAATGTATTCATCAAACTTTAACCAATTATAACGGCAAATAATTGTTTTGATTAGTAATTGATGCGAAA